CCCGCCCCTGCACTCTGGAAGGCCGCCAGCGAGGCCTCGCCGGGCGCAGATAAGGCGCTGCTGCTGCGTCAGGTTCCGCTCGTGGACCTGCAGCTGCAAGAGTCGATTCGCGGGCGCATCTTCTTTGCCCAGCTGTACGGCATGGCCTCGGTGCTCACCGCACGCATCCAGGCCGCCTTCGACCCTGCCTCTGGTGGCGTGGGCCCGCACATGGTGCTCAAGTACATCCCATACGGCCCGCTCGAGCTGACGCTCCCGTACCTCATCCGCCGTGCTCTCGAAAACGGTGATATTATGACCGGCGGCGCGGCGGCCGAAAAGGCGCTCGTGTGGGACGAGCTGATGCACCGTCTTGGCCTCCGTCGATCGTAGAGGCCCATCCTCACTCATTTCTTTTCCCCGAAGCAGACGCCCAAAGGCATGGTGCCTTGCCCTTAACACCAGGCACACCTCTCGCAACCGCACGTCTCCCGATCTCTTCCGTTCCGTTTTCAGTTTTGCTCATACCCCGGCACGGTGCCTTGCCCTTAACACCAGGCACATTGATCCATCGCATACCCACTCGGCACGGTGCCTTGCTCTTAACACCAGGCACGACTCTTTCAAGTCAATCGCTTTTGCATACCCAGGCACGACGCCTTGCCCTTAACACCAGGCGTACATCTCCCTCTCTCTTATAGACTCCGTCTCTCTGCATGCATTCCTCTTTCTTTCACGGGCAGTCTCTCGCATACGTCGCATCCCTTGTACAACTAGGTCGGTCGAGCCACTTAACACATCGACATCCCCATCGTCATCGTAATGGTACTGTAAAATTACTTCTGACCTTTGCTGTTGGGAAGCGAGCGTCTTCCACTGCAACGATTTTGCGCGTGATTCGAGTACAGCAGACAGCAGCTTTGAGGCCGTTGGAATTTTAGCCGTGTCTTGGCCACAAAGGCAGCGGAGAGGCCGAGTCAAAAGTGGAGGAGCTGCACGTGCCGCTGCATTGCGACATGATGCAGAGCCGCTTGCAGCTGTCACTTTCCTTCGCACTTCTCACCACCATCGCGACTGGCGGAGATTCCTTGCACTTTGCTTCGTCTTTACCACAGACAAACATCGCCTCAAAACCTCAAACTTGATCGATATCGTTTTAAGATGGAGGATCCGGTTCAAGAGATTCGCGGTGTGGTCAAGGGCCTCGTCGCCGCGAGGAACGCCTCGGAGCAGAAGTACTGCATGCAAAAGTACTTTGCACCCGATGCATCCTTTGACCACGTCCTCTGCACCGTCGCTTCGGGTCCCAACTCGAGGGACAACGGCGTGCTGCCCATCTACCAGTGGCTCCGCGTCATTTCGCGCTCCGACATTGAGGTCTTTCACGTCGGTGAGTGTGGCTCCGCCAAGCCGTGTGGCAGCTACGAAACGGCGCAGTAAGCTAGAGAGGAGACTGTGATCAGCAAAGATACTGAACATGCTCACATTTGCTTCCACTACCGTACAGGATTCGACCAGCAGACCAACAAGCTGTAGGTAGATCCACACAACGAAGTGTGGTTGTCTTGTCAGCTTTGGAACGCGCAGATACTGACGACTTGACTCCAATCGCAGCTTCCTGGAGGCAGTGCAGACGCTGCGTCCCAACTTTCCCGTCGTGCGCGACGTTGTTGCCAAGGACGCACGCATCGTGGTGGCGCTCCAGCTGCAGCGTGGTGCCGACGGCAAGTTCTACATCAAGAGCCAGCAGGACCTGTATGCGCCGCAGGTGTAAGTAGTGCTCCTCCCTACTCTCTTCACTCTCGACATGATCGATGCTGACCGTCGTCTCTCTTGCTTTTGTATCGACAGCCTGCCGTTCGGTATCGTGCCGGGCGGCGAGACTGTGACGATGCTGATCAAGAAGATCGCTGCGCTCAACTGCGTCGTCTTTGTCGCGATCGCGCAGATCTTGTTTGGCCTGTGGAAGCCGGGCAAGGACCCGCTGGGCTCGCACCTCAAGAGCAAGTAAGCACGTTTCATACGCCGCCGAATGACGCAACTGAGACACGCGACTTGGTCGATTGGGGCAGACAGAAGAGCAATCCTACGGTGCGGGTGCGAGTTCAAGGTATAATACAACACTCGTGGGGAGTGTGCGACTGTGCGACTGTGCGAGGTCTATGCAAAGCGATGATTGAGAGAAGATTATGCAAAAGGGGGAGGAATTACCACTGGATCTTGCGGTCCTTGCCGCCGAAGTACTTTTCGACGAGGCTCTCGTAGTAGGGGCGCAGGGCGACGGGGTCCGGTGGCGAGTCGGACTTGGAGTAGAGGTCGTATGGGTTGAAGGCGAGCACGTTTGCAAGCGCATCTTCGTCCTCGGGTGCGCAGAGGTGGCGGTAGGCGCCCTCGCGGTGCCACGGGTAGAAGCTGTGGTATCGGATCATGTCGAGTGCCGCCTGTGGGAGCGTCGACTCGCGCTTGGCGATCTCGTAGAGGTACTCGTCGTGGCCGAAGCTGAGCATGACGTTTTGCAGGCCGCAGTTGGGCTCGTACATGCCGTACTTTGTGTTGTAGCGCTCGTCGTGGAAGTCGGGGTTGTTCTCGAACGTGTGTGGGTAGACGGTACCCTCGGGCGCGCAGCCGACGACGAAGGTGTCGCCGACAACGTCCCACTGACCATCGGCGCCAAAGAAGCAGAGCAGCTTGCCGAGGTCGTGGATGAGACCCGTGAGCTGCATCCAGTCGGGCTTGCCATCGCGACGCATCGCCTCGGCGGTCTGCAGCAGGTGCTGGATCTGCGAGAGCGACGTGTCGGGGTCCGACTCGTCAACGAGCGTGTCGAGCTTCTCGATGGCCTCCCAGACGGTCATGCTGGCGTGGTGGTTCTTGAGGAAGCGTTCGCGAGCAGCAATGTTGAACGCCACCGTCTGCTTCTCGTGCTGCGTCTTGTAGAAGGCCTTGACGTGGTCGAGCGCATCTTCGTAGCGGCGGAAGTCGGCCTTGTCCTTCTCCGAGTCGAACTGGGAGCCCTCGGTGCGCCACGCCTCGTCCTCGGACGACTGCGGCTGCGGTGCCTCGGGATGCTGACCGCGGTAGACGTTGACCTCGTCGACCATGTCCGAGATAGCGTCCATGGCGGTGCCCTTGGCGACGATGGTGCTGGCGGTCTTAACCGGCGCCACAACGGGCAGGACGGGCTCAACTGCGATGGGAGCCATGATGATCAAGTGGCTTTGCTGGTAATGTATGTACGCGACGTCAAAAGCGAGTGGTGATGGAATGTGGGGAATCGAGCGAGCATGTCTGGCGGTCATATATGTTTGCACACCACAAGCCTTGGCCCCAGGGGGAGCCCGAGCCTGGGCCGCTGTACGCAGCGGTATCGACGGGACGGTGACAACATGGCAGGTGTCGGCACCCGTTCGGTGCTTGGACGGAGACCAACAAAGTTTTGCGGAGTAGGCCCAAGGATACGGTGGTTGGCCGGTCAATTTGGGTTGTGCATGCCTGGTCGGTAGAGCGGTGGGTCGCCCCGCAGCCCCTGTCAAGAGCATGCTGAAGGCCGTGCAAGGACCGACGCGGCCGAGGCGTTCAAGGCGCATCACCAAGCGTCGGTCCGACCTCGAGCCATTTCACCGACGCTCAGAACGCCGCGTCGAGACCGAGCCGGGTTCGGAGCGGTCTCCCAGACAGCCCTCCCGAAAATCGAAAGAATTACACGTTAGCATGCGAGGGTCGAACATTCTAGACTCGAAAAAAAACTGAAAACTGCTGAGCCATCTCCGTGTTCCGTACCTGCAGCCGAAAAAACTCGGGTCCTCTCCTCCACTTTGCAAAGCGTGGATTGGAGAGACGTTCTTCGTGCACACCATCACCTTCTCCTCGCTGTACTCTCTGACCATGTCGCTTCGCACACCGCTCACGCATCTGGCACGCTGCGTCGCCTCCTCCAGCCGTCAGATGCTGCCGCGTCAGGTGGTGATCGCTTCGCCTCTGCGTTCTCAGCTGCTTCCGTCTACACGCCTATCTGCGCTGTCGCAGCGATCCTTTGGGTGTTCGGCGTCTCTACGCAACGACCGCTCGCGTATCGAGGCTTTCACCCCAGAGATCACCCCTTCCAGCCATGCCCCATCATCGAAGGACGGCGACATCGACGCGGCGGACGGAGCGAGTTCGATCCCCGTGACCGGCGAGCGTACACCCATCGGACAGATCGAACAGCGTCTCGCCATCACATTCACCTGCACCGTAGACGAATGCGGACACCGCAGCTCGCACGAATTCTCGAAACGCTCCTACACCAAAGGCATCGTCATTGTACAGTGCCCAGGCTGCAAGAACCGACATCTGATTGCCGACAACCTCTCGTGGTTCACCGAAACCGAAGACGAACCGCGCACCATCGAACAGATGATCGAGGCCAAGGGCGGCAAGGTACGCAGAGGTACCGTCGGCGTAGACGGAGAGACGGGAGAGACCATCGAGATTCTTTCGTAGAACAGCTTTGCAATGCACAACATAGACCGTCATGACTCGATCGAACAGTCCGACTTGCACAGCACACGGATCGCGCGATCACACAAACTCGGCACAATGTTCTGGATTCTAGCATGACAGTGACAATCTAGGCGGTGTCGGCATGGATCTTGCGCGCGACTGCGATCGTCTTTTCCTCGCGCAGTCGCTGTCCCACCACCTGGAGGCATACGGGCAGGCCGTGCAGCTCGTCGGCGCTGTACTGCGCCCACACCTTGCGCTCGTTTTCCGACTTGGGCGCAAAATGCGCATCGGCGCCGTCGAGCTGCTTGTCTACTGCGAGGTTGGCCATGGGGAATACCACGCCGGGCATGTCCATGAGGTTCCAGCAGCCCGTGTAGAAGATGTGGTGGTAGGCATCGTGCGTCGTGGAGCACTCGGCTGCGACGGGCGAGACGAGCGCGTCAAAGTGACCGCCGCCGACGAGCGAACGCATGCGCTCTTGCAGCTCGGCCGCCCATGCCGTGCGCTTTGCCTGCATCTGCCACAGCTCTTTGACAGTCTTGCCCCAGTCCGCATCGGTGGCAGCGAGGCCCTCGACCCACTCCTCGTGCTCACCCGATGCCTCCATGAGCGAATGCACCGTGGCGCCTCCCTCGGCGCGGAAGAAGGACTCGATGAAATGCAGGCCGCGCTCGAACAGCTCGGTGTCCGAGGCGAGGAGCGAAGCGTCCCACTCGACCACCGTGTGGCCGGCAGCGCGCAGCTTGGTCACAGCATGCGTGAGCGCACGCTGCAGCGGCGGCGTGGGGGTGACGATGCCGTTGTTGGTGAGCACGAGCAGCGTGAGCGAGGCGGGCAGCGACGATGCCGACACGGGCGTCCATGGGATGGGCACGCACTTGGGATCCACGTGCCACGGCTCCGTGTCCACCACGGTCTTGGCGTAGATCTCGAGGCCGTCGGCGTCGTTACACATGGGGCCGTTGATCGACAGCACCGCCTCCTGGCCCGCCAGTCCACTGCGGCACTTTCCGGTAGGGAAGCGGCCGAACGACGGCTTGAGTCCCCAAAGACCCGCAAACGAGCACGGGATGCGGATGCTGCCTCCGATGTCGGTTCCCACGCCGAGCGGAGAGCCGCGCAGCGCCAGCAGTGCCGACTCGCCGCCCGAGCTGCCGCCGGGTGTGATGCGTGTGTTGAAGGGGTTGAGCGTGCGGCCGTTGGCGTTGCTCACGGTCTCGGCAATCATCATGGCGGTGGGCGTGGCGGTCTTGCAGAACAGCACCGCGCCCTGCTCGCGCAGCAGCGTCACCAGCGTCGAGTCGTGGTCCGCCGGGTCGTTGATCCACGTGACGAAACCGAGGTTCGAATCCTTACCCTTGAGGTTAAAGTTGTCCTTGAGACTGACGGGCAGACCGGCGAGCGGACCAGGCGGCTTGCCCGTCGCAGCAAACTGACGATCGATCTCCTTGGCGGCAGCGATGGCCTCGTCGAAGAAGAGCTCGGTGAGGCAGTTGACGAGCTGGTGCGCGATGGCGGCACGCTTGCAGAACGCCGTGGTGACCGATTCGGAGGTCCAGGTGCGCGCCTGCAGCTTGGCCAAGACCTCGGCGACGGGCGCTTCGGTGATGGCGACCTCGTCGGCGGACAAGATGCCGCACGAGGTGGGGATGGAGCGCAGATCGGCGCCACTCGTGTGGTTTGCGGTGGCCAGCAGCTCGGATGGGAGACGCCAGTCAGCGGGGATCTGGTCGAGCCGAGCCTGTTGCTTGGCTGCGGCGATCTGCTTCCACGCAGTCGATGAGGAGGAGGTCGACGACGACATCTTGGATGTGCCGTTCGAGACGGCGGTGCTTGTGGGGGCGACGGCGGTGCTTGCGGGGGCGACGGCAGCAGGCATGGTGGTCGGTTGTTTGCTTGGGGGCAAAGAGTCTCGGTGGGTCCACCGCGCGGACCGTTTTATATTGCGCGTGTGGGTCAACTCGCATGGCCGCGGCCGGTCGGACGAGCGTGGACAGCAAGCATGTAAGCGTGAACGACAGTGCAGCGCGCCACCGACGAGATTAGGCTCGCAGCGGGCCACCGGCTATCTCGGCGAATTCCACGCAAGATTGCGCAGGCCCACTTGGTTGATCTTATCGTTTGCTTTGTGCGTCTCAACCGAGCTCAAGACTCAAGGGTCTGGTTGTACAGGACTTTGGTGGGACCATGTGACTTGCGCTGGGTGCTGCTCCGGGCCGGTGTAACGTTGCCAACGCCGATAGATTGGCTCTTCGAGGGTGCGCACAATTCAGCCTCGTTTTTCCCCGACATGCGCTTGAACGGCAGTTGGTACCAAATCCGATGCACAGGCGCAGTGCATAAATCCGACGACCACCCGTCCAATCTTGCACCAATCCCGCGACGGTCTCCACGGAGGCGCATCCATCAAGCTCAACGCCACCTGTCAACATCACACGTCACACAAACCTAAACTGGTGTAGCACAGGGTAGTCTACCGACATTGCATTGCCAGCGAGAGTGCAGCGCACGTCTAGGTTAAGCATCGTCGTCGTCACCTTCTCCATCGACGTCACGACCGAGCCTCTCGTCGCCGCCGAGCAGAGTCCAGGTTTCAAACTCGCGACCCTTGTGGTCCTTCTTGATGAGGAATTTGCCGCCGTCGCCCTGCTCCTTCCACACCAGCTCGCGCGTACGGCCGAGACTCTCGATGGCCGAGACGCGGTCCATGACCGACTCGAGTCGGTCGCCGTAGCCCTCGGACTCGGCCACGCGTCGCATGGCGCGCAGCAGCGGCATCGAGTCGGCACGGATGTGGTGGTGACGGTCAATGTGGATGACGTTGAGGTGGTCCAGCTCCATGATGAAATCGGGGCGCGTCATGACCTGGCGCGCTTCGCCCCATGTGAGGTGCGGGTTGGGAACGTCGGCACCGCGCACGTCCGACTCCTGGTCGTTGCTAGGATCGGTGATGGGCGACTCGGTCAACCTTCGATGCGATGTTGCCGCCTCGTCATCGTCCTCGTCGTCGTCATCGTCCTCGTCGTCGTCATCAGCCCCGACCGCAACGCTCGCACGCACACCTGTGCCAGCCTGGTTGGATCCTGGCCGCTTCTCGTCGTCGCTCTGCGCCGCCGCCACGGTGGTGAAGCGTGTGAGGCCAGGCACGGGCGATGCGCGCGCCTTGAACCATCCGGCGTCGCTGTGCAGCTGCGCGGCCAGGCTGCTGTACTGCGGATCCTCGACATCGTCCTGGTTGACAAAGGCGGGCAGCCGGCCGCCGTAGTCGTTGAGCAGATCCTCGAGCTCCTTCTGCTTGTGGGCAAGCTCGCAGAAAAGGAGCCAGCTGCACGTCGACCACTTTTGCTCGTCCATGACGTCGTCGTCGTGGTCCTCGATGATGCCGGTCTTGCTGAGCACCCACTGCATGTCGTCCTCGACGAGCTGGCGTGCGGCGCGCAGCATATCCTTGCGCCTTGCCACCTTGTTGAGCAGACCCAGTCGTCCGCCGCAGATCTCGTAGACCTCCTGGAGCACGCGCGGATCTTGCGACGACGGCTTCTCGCCCCAGTACTGCTTGCGGCATCCGCGCAGCACGTTGATCGACTGGCGTCGCGAGAGGTCGCGGAAGGAGAGCGTGTCCATCCGGTTGGATGCCTTGCGCAGCACGTCGTACACCCAGTAGTCGGCCGTGGTAAAGACAAAGGTGGCCGTGCCGGCCGAGGCCCACTTCTCGGCGCGCTGCTGGAAGATGTGGAGCAGCTTGGTGCCCTCCTCGTCGCGCGGCAGCAGATGTGCGCTGTTCATCACGATGATCGCCGGTTTGCCCGTCTTTTGCTTGCGCGTGATGAGCGCCTTTTCGAGCTTGTGCAGCGCGCGCTCGAGCTGCTGGTAGTACGACATGCCGGAGAGATCGGAAAGGCCCAGCAGGTTGCCGAGGTAGTCGCGGTTGTTGCTAAAGTTGATCGATTCCGAGAAGCGGTCCACGACGATGGTGGGATCGAGGTGCGCATCGAAGAACGCACAGCCGTCCGCATCGATCTCGGCCATGGCCTCGATGATGGACGTCGCCTTGCCCGAGCCTTTGCTGCCCATCACGAGGAAGTAGCGACCCGCCTCTTTGCCCGAGACGATGCTGCGAATCATCTCGTCCTCGGGCCGCGGCGGCTCGATGCGCACATGGGCGAGCTGGTCGCCGCTCTTGGCGAGCGCCAGCACGGGATCGTAGCCTGGATCGAAGGCAGCCTCCATCTTCTTGAGCACGTGTCGCTTGTACCAAGAATGGTAGACCATCGCAGCGCCGCCGAGCAGCAGCACACCCACCGAGGCACCCATGGCGGTCTCCCATCCGGTCGAGTTGAAGAAGCTCCGGAATCCCTCGCTCGAGTCCTTTTCGGAGCGGCCGCCGGAGGAGGATGACGTCGAAGAGCGTTGAGGCTCCTCGGAAGTACGGCGATGTGACGTTGAAAACGGCCGCGCTATCGATGCGGCTGTGATCGGCTTGGCGACCGCCATGGCGGCAGCGCGTGTGGTGAGTGGGGCAGTGGCCGTCCACGGCCTCGCCGCTGCAGACACGGCGCTCCTTGGGATGAGCACCATCTCGGTCGTTTGTGATGCGAATCGGAGGTGCCGAACTAGATTGATGTGATGGTCAAGAGGAGCAAACCTTCGCTCGGCGGGCTTCCGCCCTGCATCGGCCAGCCTTGCTTGACTGTCTTGGCATCGGTGTTCTAAAAGTGTCATCGGCGTGCATCTCCTCGACACTTCGACACTGCAGGCTGTGCACGGCCATGCGAGCCAGAGCCGAACGTGGACGGGACAGAATTTTTGGCTCGATTTTGACATGTTAGGTCTTATTACGTTGTGCTCCCGAGTTCCGAAATGAGGACCGCAAAGCGAGCGGAGCTGCAGACGCTGCTCGACGCCGTGCTGCAAGTGCTCTGCATTGTCTTGCTACTACCACACGTCGGGCTAGCATCATGTCTCTCTTCAAGAAGTTCGAGCCCAAGCCGGACCTGGGGCCTGCGACGGCGCTCAAGTCGTCCGTGCGCAGGGTCATCCGCCAGAAGCTGTGCGAGCAGTACCCCGTGCTTGCCGAGGAGGAGGGTGCGCTCCTCGAGGCCGCCTGGCCAAACAAGGCTTCCGTCACGACGGTCAAGTTTGCGCGAGAGCACGTGCAGATGCTCATCTCGGACAAGCAGGTGCTCTTCTTCCAGCACTATGACGACTGGTACCTCCCTAGCCTTCGTCTGCTCCACAAGTGTAAGTTTTGCCGCTTCAGTCCATTCCCGTTCGAAGCATGTGCGGCCAGCTGATCCCAAGTGCATCTTCCTCGTTTCTCCTCCACTGTAAATGCACAGTCCCTGAAATGCTTCCATCAGTCCAGGTGGATCGCGGAGCCATCAAGTTCGTGCTCTCCGGCGCCAACGTCATGTCCCCCGGCTTGGTGAG